TGGACACTGAGGCGGGTCACCTGCTGAGTCCAGTGATTCAAATGCTACTCACACCTGAAAATACTCTTATAGACATGTAGCCAATCAAGGCAACATGGAAAACTAATGATTACATATACAGCAGCCAGTAAGACACACGCACACACACACACACACACACACACACACACACACACACTGCCCACTTTTTTGAAAAAAAATCTTACTGAAGATTTCTATAAATAGTAAGATATGCTGAAGAACAGAGGCAAAACTGTGGAGTTCAGATTATGTAAACCAATGAGCAGAAATAAATACCACGGACACAACATTTCTAGTGTGTTTTAGAGTTTTTCCATGTGTGTCTTCACCAAGCCCAATACAATAATTGAGAAAAAAAGTTGTTTTTCTCATTTCATTGCTAAGACAAATGAAACTCAAGCAAGTCCAGTCATTTTTTTCTCCAGTACTGGAGACTGAACGAAGGACTTTGTATTGAATCACGTCCCCACCGCTTTGTATTTTATTTTGAGACAGGGCCTCACTCAGTCACCAAATTGCCCAGGCTGGGCTCAAACTGTGATCTACCTGCTTCAGCCTCTCAGAGTGCTGGGATTGCAAATGTGTGCCACCAAGGCCCATCCAACGAGGTCCAGTGATTCACTGGGGGTCCCTAAGCTACCGGGGACAGAGTGGCTGAACCTGGAGCTTTCCGAAGTGGAAATAGTCATCAGGAAAACACAAGTCACTACTATTCTGGTTGTTCTGAGAGGAAAGTTCAGGTGGTGACATGATGAGGAGCCTGCACAGCTCATCCTCCTCCGTGATGTCTCCTCCTCCTCCCCAAGGCACAGAGTCACATTTTCTGTGGTCATCACTCCATCAATCTTGCATGAAGGGTGGGCTCTCCATACTCCTGAGCATGGAGAAAGGATCACCTTCTGCTGGGATTCTCCGTGGAGTGTGAAGGCCACACCAAGCCTTCCCGGAGGTGATCAGGAAGGACTGGGTTGTTTGAGAGCAGGTGTAGCACCTTCCATGTGGGCCTGTCTGGAGCTGTTTATTCGGAGCACTGGGGAAATCTCACTGGGAGTGACGTGAACTGCTAAGCGCTGGTCAAGGGCGTTGGCCGCCTCCCTTCAGTGCTTTCTACCTGGAATGAAGCAGGCTGAGCCAGAGGAAGTGGGCCTTCTCCCCCACAACTAAGACACACCTTAGGAATGGCCATGTTTTCTCATTCCTTACCAGTTTTCACTGATAAGGCAAATGGCCCACATTGTTCAGTAGTAAGCAAACAGGGCCCCAACGGGTATCCTCCATGACCCCAGCAGGCAGAGGACTTTGCGTGCTGTGTTCCAGCTCATCCTTCTTACCAGTGAGTCTCAAGATGAAGCTAGCCCAGGCCCACAACCCACCATCACTCCTGGTTCCCAGGCGAGGGTCTCACTCAGAAAATGACGACAGAGAACCTTCTCAGACCACTCTGTGAGCCCTGGGGCCTCTGCACAGTACCGAGGATCACGCAAACTGGAAGAAGCCACTGGCCCCTGCACGGGGCCAGATGGAAGCAGCCAGAGATCCTCCTTGGTCTCCTCCTCCCCACCCCTTCCTCATTTTGTCCTCCATCAAGGGAAAACCCAGGGCAGTCAGCTTGTGAATGTTATATGGCAGCCTGTTGCTGACAGGAAGAGCCCTGGAAACTGCTCACAGCTCTTCTACAGGAACCTCGGCTTTCCAGTGTTCGAGTACAATGGGAAATTGTAGAGTGGCCAGAAACGTTAGGGCTCTGCTCCATCACAGTGTCATATTCAAGAAAAATATCACCCGAGAGAGTGAAGTGGAGAAGGGGCAAAGTACTAGGAACAATGGACATCAGGGAACTGGGAGAGATGGCCAGAATATGGAAGTCTTTTCTTAGCAATTAGGAATACGTTTTCCTGCCATTCTTGGATCAGTTCTTACGTACACTGCTTTAGAGGCCGGTGTCAGCTCCTCTGGGACGTCCACTGAGGTGTCCTGGAGCTCAGTCAGTGCTAACAGTGACAGAAGAAGTGACAGTGCAGCTGCCCTGCCCTCCAGGTTTGTGAGTTTGTACAATACCCATGGCACTTTATTCTTACTCTTTTCTCTCTTACTGGGCACACCTGGACTCTGGGTCAGAGAAGGTGAAGATGCGTGCAGTTAAAGGTACAGGTGAGAGAGAGCCTGCTAAGCCTGCTCAGGCACAGCACGGCACACTGTTGGATGCTTTCCTGCAGATAATGGTGCCCCGCAGTTAATGTTCACCAACAGAACCTTCCTGGCCCACGTAGTGAGCTGTGTAAAATAGCTGACCTTTCTCCTCCCCACCCTCACTCCCAGCAGACCGTTTCAGTCAGCACATAGAGTGCTGGACTTGGAGGCTGTGCTCACAGCTAACAGGTCATTTCCTGGGGTTGGTTCTGAGCTGCATATCAGATAAACTTCCCAGCAGACCGTTAAGCATTAGCCTGCCTGTGACCACCTGCTCCTGTGGCTGTAAATGTTTGATAGAAAAGCACACATACCAATATACTAAGCACTCTGAGCACATTAGGAAGGCGATTGGTGGGAAAGGAAATGGCTGTAGTGAGAGGAGGAATGATCTATTCTGGAAACCCTGGACAGAATGTCTGTTAAATCATTTGTACACTGTTCAATGATTTACATTCTGATGGGACCTGTTAATCCCAGAACTGCAGTTCCAAACATTCTTCCGTGTGCCTGCACTGACAGTCTGTGTCAATTACTGCAGCCATAAGGCTCTTCTGGCTGGTTAAACATAAAGAATTAGTGTCTCTTTTCTATATAATGGTTGGTTGTCTTAGCCATACTTATGAGGAAGTTCAGTGGATTATCATCTACCTTTGAAATTCTGAGGCCTCAAAGAGCCTGAAGACGTTCCTTGTTCCAAAAACATAGGATGCTTGATTGCATTGTTTTGTATTACAGGGGCTCATTTTGTATTTCCCCCAAGATAATGAGAAAAATTCATGAATCAGAATTTGGTTTAAGATTCAAGTAACTTTTAAGCTAATTTCAGTTATAAATACTGTTTGAGGACATGCTGGCTGAGACCAAACCCTCACTCTTTTATAGTGCAGGCGCTGCACACTGTAAAAAACAGCCCATAACTGGCACAAAAGCCCTGTGACTGTTTAAGTCCCTGTGTGTTTGGGTTTCTGCTCTTAATATCAGCACTGGGCTGGACTCTAAACCTCTCCCAGCTCCATCTCTGTGGTCCAGGCTTACTATAGGGTAATCCAACCATATCAAGAAAAGAAAAATCAAGATGGACCTTTCTGCTTAATCTCGAAAGTAGACATAATCACATCAGCTAATTTACTAGTGCTTTGTGCCCTTTGTCGCATGAGATATATGTGTCACATATGAGATGTACGTGTGAAAGTTTCTTGAAAGTGTAGATCATGTTAAGTGTGTTTAACACAAATGCTTATACACACAAGGACATCTTAGAAGTAACGGACGTGTTTATTACCTTGATTGTGGTAATGGGATCGTAGGTCTATAAGTAGGGCCAAAGTCAACAAATTGAATGTCGAACATCTGCAGATTAGTTTGTTTTGCAATTATGCCGCAGTAAAACTTATTTTAAAGAGATAGGAGCTACACTCTGGTGTCAGTTAACACAGAGATACATTCTTATAAGTGTGTCTTATGTTATCTCCTCATCGTGCAAACACAGCCAAGTATATTTACACGACTGTGACATTGCCTGGGACCACTGCCATGCATACAGCCCACTGTGGACTGAAACACGTGGGTTGTTTTGTTTTTGTTTTGGGTCACGTTTGTGATACCGGATGAATACATTCACTTTGGGAGTCGGCACATGTTCATATCACATCTTAATTCTTCTTACTTGCTTCTCTTCTCTAGCCTCTCATCTCCTTCCATCCCTACATCTTTTCCTGTCTCCTAAAAGTCCACCTCCCTGTTCCTATCATCTGTCTCAGATTTAGCTCTTTAAATCTTTTGTACTGTGGACTTTTCGTGTAAGAGAGACCATGTTATCTAACCTTCTGTACCTGATTTGTCTCCTTAGCATCGTGTGCATCCCTTTCCCTACCTGTGACTCTAAGTGTCTCTGTTTATGGCTGACTAGCACTTGGCTTTGTGTAAACAGCACGCTTGCTTTCCCCACTCATCTGCTAATGGACGTGGAGGCCACTTCCAAGATTTAGCTGTTGTGAGTTGTGTTGCTGCAGACATGGGTGTGCCTGAATTGTACATTCCTGAAACTTATGTATACAGCATACACTGTGTATTCATTTTGGAAAATAAACATTTTTTGAAAATCAAGATGAATATATATTCCTTTATGTATTCTTTTGATTATGTTTCTAGGGGAAGAAAGGGTAGGGTAAAAGGATTTTTGAACTAGACCTCATGTGGCACTGACCAGTAGAGCCATTTGCAATTGTAGAAATGTTGTATGTTGGCAACATGTTAGCTTCTCACTACAGTGTTGAGTACCGTGAGCGCCTAAAAGCAATGTGCCCAATGCAACTGAAGAGCAGTATTTTAATTTAATTTAATTTAATAATTTAATTTTAACTCAAAGGGCCATACTCCCATTGTAACATTGTTTTCAATACAACCTTGCTGCTAGCTCTAGTCCATTTAACCAAGAAAATGCATTAATGATGGAGCAACCATACTCCAGTAGGTGATAAGATGAATACATGTGGTAAAGCTAAGGATGGCCCGCTCCTAAATTTCTCATTGGAATTTAAATGTTGAGATGACCACGTGGGTGCAGTACCCCTGGTCCCTTTTGGCTAAGAGCTATGAAAGGGCATTGGGAGTGTTAAGAGACCAGGTCATTCAGAGCAGTTGTCTCTGAGACTACAGATGTTCTGTGTGTGTTTATATTCTGTCTGAGAAACTCCAGAGAAAGAAGACAAGCTCTTTAGAGAGCTGTTATAAAGACGCTGTTGTATGCGTGAAGCTCACCACCCTTACTGGTTTTCCCTTCTCAGGAGCTGATTGACGTGGACAGTGAAGTGGTCTTCGAACTGGCTTCCTATATTTTACAGGTAAGTGGCTTTGCTGAAGCAAGAAGAAACAGGGAGTGTCACAGCCCTGGCAGAATCCAGGGTTATTTGTCTCCTTAACTTTTTCTAGCCACAAGTTGGACAGAGCCACTAAGAATACTGAATACCATGACCATAAATAGGGTATTCTATCTGTCAAAATGTTAAAACAGCCTATCACTGTAGAAGAGAATTGTGTATTTAACTTGAGCCTGGGAGAAATAAAGGTTTTCAGTGACAGCACTGTTCTGTCCTGGGCACAGCCAAATGAGTAGAATTAATCACCAAAGAGTCACCCCGTGTAAACACACCCACCACAGAGAAAGCTAAGGAAAACAACCCTTGGCAGGGGGCGGGGTCTTACATTAGCTGTAACTATAGCAGGGTAAGTGGAAGTGATCCTTCATTTGTCCTTTCAACAGATATTTATTGAATACAGCTATGTGCAAGGTATCACACTAGATTCACTGAAATTTTTATGGCTCTTTGCTACAGAGTCTTTTGTGTAACTGGAAATTAGCCCACAATACAGAACAAAACATAACATATGAAATAGTTTTATCCAGATGCATGTTCAGGGTCAGAAACTTTCAACTTGAGGAGATTAAACCAGGGACTAGGGGTGACCACTCTCATTTTGTCTTTGTGAATCTCTTTGCTTATTAATCTCTGAAGTTTAACCTTGTGTCTCGTTTTGGGGTGGCAGGTATGTTCGCTCCGTCTTCATCTTAATCCTGCTGTCTCAGGATGATTGCAGTAGGGAGGCGAATTACTTATTCCTGCTGAGGAGTTATCATGATTATATAATATATTTTAGTCTGACACTGGATGGATGTGTTTCACTGATGTTGAGTTTTTTTCCCTTTACAGGAGGCAAAGGGAGATTTTTCTAGGTGAGTTTACAAAAGCGTTTTTTGAAGTTTTTTTGGTTTGGTTTGATTTGGTTTAAAAATATACTCTGTAGTTTTATTTAAAAAAAAAAAAAAAAAAAAAACGGTTTCCCTACCTGTAATACTGTATTAGTGATGAATTCTACTCTCAGTTTCCCGTGGCAGCCATAGATGAAAAATACAGCAATAACAAGGACTTTCAATGCACACAAAGACCCTACAGGTCACCCTTGGCCAGGCCAGTATCCACGGTCACATGTGACTGTTGTGCCGAGGTGGATGACTTGGTCAGGGTCTCCGTGGTCCCCACAGTTACTGCTGTTGTTCACTGCGGTGATCTTAGGGCATAGTAGGGCCATAGTAGCCCTAACAACACCTTTTTTTCCCCATTCTATCAATTTAGTTACTGGCCCTTAAAGGACCAAGCTCTGTCCTATAGGGAGATGTATTTCATGGAAGTGTTGCAATGCAAGTATCCCATTTCATCTTCCTTTTTAAGACAACAGGATTGGAGAAAACATATACAGACTTAGCAGAAGCCAAGAACAGCTCCACTAACCTCTGAAGAGAGTCCTGGACTCCTTCCTTAACTTCCTCCAGGCCCCGCCCACTGGCCCTGGGGCTGAAGTTGCTGGAAGACCCTCCCTGGAGTATTCCTAGACCTCTGTGGGCTCCCTGTCCCCTGTGGGGTTGTTGGTTTGAAGACAGGTATTATTCCAGGGAGTCTGTCTTATCGGACTCCTCCAGGAAAAGCCCAGGACAGCTCATTCTGTAGGATTGATCTCTACAGGCAGAAAGAGAACACCATGCTCAGAAAAGCAAAATGAGTACCCCAATTTAGGGCTCTGGCCCATCAGAAAGAAGGTCAAAGATTGGTAAAGCATAATATAAGCGTAAACTGTTCTTCTGGTCCATCAGCAAACTTGTGTGCTGTGCCATGCTTGGAAGGATTAGATCTGTAAATGCAGCATCACCATACCCAAGGTTCTATGGCCTCAGTCAGATGGTTCAGCAACAGTGAAAGATTATTTTAAAATCTAAAACAAGGGCTGGCAAACTCTGTGAAGGGCCGATCAGTGCGTGGGTTTTGCAGGCCACAAGGTCTCCCTTGCAGTTAATCAGTTCTTCCTAAGTGCAGAGGTGCTTCCAGGATTTGTAAGCGGCTTGATGTGGTTATGCTCCAAGAAAACTTTGCTCAGGGCAACAAAAATTTGAACATACATTTTCATGTATCATGGAATAATAGTCCTCCTCTTCTTCCTCCGCCTTGTCCTCTTCTTTGTCTTCCTCCTCCTCTCCTTCTCTTTCTCATCTTCTGCTTAAAAACGTACAAGCCATTCTCAGTTCATAGTTCGGCCCGCAAGCAGTTGGTCAGTCCTTGCTGTTTGCTGACCTATGGTCTTAGAATAGAGTCCCCTGAGCTCCCTCTGACCATTTATCTGAGGAAACCTCCAGCACTCCTTTATTTAGGGTTTCTAAATCCTAGGGAACCAAAGATCATTAATAAATAGTGGCTGTTATGAACCCTAGCTGGAGACCTTGAACATGGTGAGTGAAGAATCGCCATTTAATGAATTTACTTAAATCACTTCGGCTTCGCAGAATCTTGAAGTTGTTTGCTATTTTCTGATGAGCTAAATTTAGTATTAGAATGTAGGGGTTTTATGAGTTCATATGAACCTACAAAAATTCCTGGACTCCTATGAAAAACTCTAAAAACCACAACACAGTGAACCCCAGTGCCTCGTCCACTTATGCTGAAGATACTTTGGTATTTCCCAGCTCTGAACTCTGCCATAAACATTATTTATTTTTGAGAGCAGCCTGGCAGGGTGAGAATGGCCTCCTCTGGCCCCACAGAGCATGGGAATGTGGCCATGGGGTTCCAGCAAGGAGGAAGTGCAGGCCTGGCCCTGGCAGTCCTTCCTGGCCCCCTGATGAGCTGGAATGCCAGCTTGCCTGGTGGCTGGACTCATTTGTCAGAGGTGCTTTCCGCCGCTGTTTGTCTGCAGCTGCAGCTGTCAGGGCGGGAAGGTTGGGTGGGCACCGTATCTGAAGGTCAGTCTAGCTTATCCCACAGAAGCCGCACTGCAAAGTTGGGAGTGATCTGTTATATGGGGTCTCTGGTCCACACCCACCTTCTGGAGCATCCAGGGTTCATGAAAGTTTCTTCAGAAATCCACGAGTAGTGCTTGGGTGTAGCCTGGGGTTTGGGGAGATGAGAAGTGATTTTAAGTTGCCCATGTATGTCGCTTTCCATCTGCATCTCGGAAGATCCTCAAAACATGAAAGGTGACCACTGAACATCACATATTTTACACGGCTCATTCTTGTAGTTCAGTTTTATAGACAGTGAGTTTTGCTATTAGTCGTTAATGTGTGACTTTACAGCTTTAGCTATCTGTAACTGGCTGGCTTTGACTTGGACACACACCCTGTAAGTGCAGTACATTTCCTTGGACAGCATTTAGAAGATACTAGCTTAGAAATACAGAACCTTGAGGGAAGCTTTTACATATAAAACACAGGATTCGGGCCCAGTTCTAGGATATGTAGAAATCTAGATCAAATAACCTTTGAAATGAATGATTTTACACAAACGGCAAAGTAATTCTTCCAGAGCTGGGAGGATCTTGAATCTGTAACTTCTGAAAATATAATTTACACAAGCCGCTGTTACTTATATATTAATTTCAGTGACTATATTCAGGCTACACTTGTGTGGAATGAGTATAGAAACCTACAAATTGCAAGTGCTGTTTCCTTGAAGCACAAGAGGAAAAAGACTATTTTTACAAATAAGAGAAGTGGAAAGTGCCCAGGGGCTTCAGTAGGAGAAGAGCTATAGAAAGACGGCCACTGGGCTGCTTTCGTGTCCTTCTTCTTTTGTCCTTTCATTGGCTCAGCAGACCCTGAAGGCTGGGTCTTACATAACTTTCTTTTCTCCAGTTAATGGAAATGCTCACTGCTAGTCTTATTGAACTTGGCAGTGAAACATTGGGTTCTGCATCACTGAAAGAAAATGACTGAAGGATACACAGCTAAGTGGCACTGTCTGCGGCAGGCAGAGACACATACCGGTGTGTTCATGTCCTCACAGAGCAGACAAAGGCGTACGTACCACCAAAGGCTTAGGAAATAGCCTTATCTAAGAATAACGTGTTCTCTTGTATTACTTTCCGTAGCACAGCATGGTAATCTTGTCTCATTTCCTGGTGTGTGTGCATACATGTTACAAATTTTAAAAAACCTCATGCCTATCACCATTCAGGAAATCTGCAGAGTTCGCACTTACATTTAAAAACAATTAGACAGCCCCAGAGCTATGAATCACGGCCAGCATAGGAGCAAAGAGTAGGCGGAGACAGCTAGCAAAGTCTAAAAACAGAAAGGTCACACTGGATAACCACCTCCACTGTTAGTCAGCGAGCAGACGTCGCCCACAAATTGAGCACAGCATGTTCACCCCAAACACCGCAGCTTTCTCAGCACTGATCACTGACTTTTCTAAACTTTTAAATAAAAATCTTGGGTTATCGTAGAAAAATATTCTTTTCCTTACAAAAGTCAGTACAGAGAACACCGTTTCACCAACTGACATCCACATTTTCAAATTATATTAGAAATTAATTATGTTCTAACATAATTAAATTATATTCTAATTAAACTTAATAGACTTATTACTGCACTGTGCTGAGTGAGGTATTAGGTGCAAGAACTTGGGTTTTAATTTTTTTTTTCCCTAAAGGGAACTTCCCTGAAATCCCTTTTGACCAATTTTCTTACCCTCATCTTGAGAATCTCCTCACTTGTCACCTTCCGGTCATATTAAATTCTTGACATAATTTAAAATAATGATAATAATGTTAAACACATTTTGCAAAATTGAAATTTTAAGCCGTTTTATGCTGTACACTGCAATCGTTAATGCTCGAATCATACTGCCCTTGATATAAAGAATCATCCGTACGTTAGGAGGGACTGCTAAAAGCCACCTGAATCTTTTTGCTAAGATTTACTGAAACCAGGTCTGAAAAGCTCTGTTGCTCTGGGCTGTCCACTGGGACTTCTGTTGCAGAGGACCGGATATACTAATGCTAACACTAAAATAAAATTGTTCCAGCATGAGATTTATTAGGACTAGTGCGTCACCAACACATGAAAAAGGACTGATACTAAGGAAGTGCCATGTCAGGAGCCAAGGGCTACAGTCTGGCAAGCTGGCTCACTTCCTGTTCCAGGGGTGGCCTGTCTGTGCTTCGAGGTGATGGGGGTACCCTGTGGCCGCAGGCCTGCCATGCCAAGTAAGCACAGTAACCCACGAGAACTCAGGGTCAGTTTATACAGCATCTGTGCAGAAGGAAGGTCTACCTGAGAGAGTATTAGCTGATCAGAATCCAGCAGTAGAAAGAACAAATGGCTGTCATCATCGAGGAGGGAAATTGATTTTCATCTCCACGTCAGAAGAAAACTTAAGAACATTTATTTGTGCTGAACAATTCCCATCATTGTCCAGCAATCTTAGGTCCCTGGGGGAGCCATTAGAAGTAAAAAGCATAAAGACCTTTTCATATTTTATCTTCTATAAACTGTGGCACTGTGCAGTCACCAGTCTAGAGAGAAACTCTGTCGCACGCAAAAAGGTGCCCTCTTGATTCCCCACTTTTTTCAAAATTGGTTTACATTTTTAAAAACACATCGGTAATTTACAGTGAACTAAAGCTGGCTTTCTGGTCCGTGAAAATTCCAGGTTCATAAGTCTTTTTGGTCAGGCTGAGAGATGCAGGGAGTCAGTCACAGGTTAAACAAATAATTTGCTTTTGTTTAGAATTTTCATCTTTTTAAAAATTGATTTTCTCCCTCTTGGAAATGACAGATACTTTACCATTGTTACAAAGTTTCTTCTGCTTAATAACAGAGGGTGAAATAGCAATCACAGTATTGTAAACCCAAATAGCAAGTTCAGTCATCCAAGTATTGTAATCTTCTTCCTAGTTTTCCTC